TGCCGAATTTTGGGGGGTTTTGGGGCAGGCAGCAGCTGTCGGAGGAGGAGCTGGGGCGCATCGAGGACGCGTGCGACATGGCGCTGGCGCTGAGCGGCGCCAAGCTGCGCATCCACGAGTACGTCGAGTCCCGCATGTCCTTCATCGCCCCCAACCTCTCCCTCATCCTCGGCGCCTCCACGGCTGCCAAGATCATGGGTGAGAAACCAAAAAAACCCAAAAAAACCCCGAAAAAATCCCAAAATCCCCGCGAAAACGGGACTAGAATAGCCAAAAATATCAAAAAATGAACCAAAAATGTCCCAAAACACCCCAAAACCGAGTCCCCGTGTCCTTCATCGCCCCCAACCTCTCCCTCATCCTCGGGGCTTCCACGGCCGCCAAGATCATGGGTGAGGAACCAAAAAAACCCAAAAATCCCCAAAAAAATCCCAAAATCCCCGCGAAAATGGGACTAGAATAGCCAAAAATGCCAAAAAACGCCCCAAAATCACCCCAAAACCGAGTCCTGCATGTCCTTCATCGCCCCCAACCTCTCCCTCATCCTCGGGGCTTCCACGGCTGCCAAGATCATGGGTGAGGAACCCAAAAAACCCAAAAATCCCCAAAAAAATCCCAAAAAAATCCCAAAATCCCCGCGAAAATGGCACTAAAATAGCCAAAAACACACTAAAAATACGCCAAAACTGCCCCAAAACCAAGTCCCGCGTGTCCTTCATCGCCCCCAACCTCTCCCTCATCCTCGGGGCCTCCACAGCCGCCAAGATCATGGGTGAGAAACCCAAAAAAACCCAAAAAACCCCAAAAAAATCCCAAAATCCCCGCGAAAACGGGACTAAAATAGCCAAAAATGTCAAAAAGTGAACCAAAAATGTCCCAAAACACCCCAAAAATGAGTCCCCGTGTCCTTCATCACCCCCAACCTCTCCCTCATCCTCGGCGCTTCCACGGCTGCCAAGATCATGGGTGAGAAACCAAAAAAACCCAAAAAACCCAAAAAAATCCCAAAAAAAATCCCAAAATCCCCGCGAAAACGGGGCTAAAATAGCCAAAAATGCCAAAAAACACCCAAAAATGAGTCCCCGTGTCCTTCATCGCCCCCAACCTCTTCCTCATCCTCGGCGCCTCCACGGCTGCCAAGATCATGGGTGAGGAACCAAAAAAACCCAAAAATCCCAAAAAAAATCCCCAAAAAATCCCAAAAAATCCCCCAAAAATCCCAAAATCCCCGCAAAAACGGGACTAGAATAGCCAAAAATGTCAAAAAATGAACCAAAAATGTCCCAAAAACACCCAAAAATGAGTCCCCATGTCCTTCATCACCCCCAACCTCTCCCTCATCCTCGGCGCCTCCACGGCTGCCAAGATCATGGGTGAGAAACCCAAAAAAACCCAAAAATCCCAAAAAAATCCCAAAAAAACCTCTAAAAATTGCCCAAAAATCCCCCAAATAAACCCCAAAAAAT